ACAACGATTTTCGACCCCCGAAGAAGCGGTTGATGCATTCAAAACGCATGTTTTGGAGTTACCTCAATCGGACTGGAAAAAGTGCTTTGAAAATTGGTTCAAACGCATGCAAAAGTGTATTGATCATCATGGAGAATATTTTGAAAAACAATAAAACCAATTTCGATCCTACATATTTGTTTTTTCATTATTAGGCCAGAAATATAAATAGTAACCCTCGTAATAAGAGGAAGTGGATATATAGAACTTTTTAGGCGTATTGTAAAAACGGAATGAGTAAAAAATCGAATTTATTTAAAAAGCTTTCTCTCGTAGTGAACTAAATTGGTATGATATATCTTTCTGGAATCCTCGCCAAAAGAAATACTCTCAAATTTATATTCATTCTCATCTTCAATCAGTGAAATTTTTCGCCGAGCTTTACCGCTCAATGAAATTCGTGAAGTGGAGTAATAGTATTTCACTTACGATCACAAATTTGTTAGTTAAAAATTGAGAAAATATGAAAATAACCACGTTTTTAGTTGGTAGACTATGAATCTTACGATTAGCTAATGAGAAACTCTGATTTAAGTTTAGGTAGTCTGTGACTCTAAAACTTGTAGATTCAGAGAAACTCTGATTTAAGTTCAATTATCTGAGGTTTAAGTAGACGAATAATAAATTTTAATGAAATATGTGATGCAATTATTTTTACAATAATATTTATTAAATAAATAATACTAAAAAATTACGGCAACCGACCAGATTGTGTAAGGGTCTATTAAGTGGCTTTGCATCAGAAAAGTTCTGGGTTCTAATCCCGGACCAGGCCAGGATGTTCGTTCATTCCATGTACTATCTGTCCTTACAGTGGGAACAACGCTGGCTCACCTAATATGGTGCCCCTGAATAAGTGACCAGCAAATCTCCCCTACTATGCCTGAATTAACGAAATGTCAACCCAGGTAGGCATTGGAAGAAAAAAAAAATAGAAATTACGGCATAGTATTTTACGGTTGGAGTTTACGGATGATGCATCCAAAGTGCTGGTACTTTATACCGTAATTTTATCCGGAATTTTTTACATTGGATTTGTTAATAAAAATTTAATATTATTTCTCTTAAAATCACTTATTCATATGATAAAGATAGAGGAAATAAGAAAAAAAAATAAGGACTTATTTAGCTGGTAGTCTGAGTCTTATGATTAGTTAATGAAAATCTTTTATTTAAGTTTAAGTAGTCAAAGAATCCAATGATTATAGCTTTAGATAAACTCTAATTTAAGCTCAGTTATCTTAGGTTAAAGTTGACAAATCCTAAAATTTAATGAAATATGTGATGCAATTCTTGTCGGAAAAAAAGAATGTTAAACGTTAAAAAAAATTACTTTTAAATGAAGAATTATTAAATTACTAACATTAGAAGAAATATTGATTACTAATCTTATTTAAGTTTAGGTAGTCTAAGAATCTAATGATTATAGCTTTAGATAAACTCTAATTTAATCTCAGTTATCTTAGGTTAAGGCTGACAAATCCCAAAATTTAATGAAGTATGTGATGCAATTGTTGTTGAAAAAAAGGAATGTTAAACGTTGGAAAAAATTACTTTCAAATGAAGAAATTTACAAATAAGAAGGGATTACTAGCATTAATATAATACTTTTAAAAGAAACATTATTGCACATTTCAAAATGATCATCCAATACAAATTCAGATAAGAATATTACCTTTCTCATTATAACACTTTATTTGAAAACCCTCAACATCCCTTAAAGAAAATTACACAACCTCCAATCGAAGGATCACTCTTATAATAAGAAGCGTAAATGAACGGTTCTTGGCTGAAGATCATCACTTCGATTGGTTGGCACCTTAAGTATCCACTTTTCTTTTTTTAAATACCTTTTAGTCCAGCAAATTGGGACATCATTTTGAAGATCTAACTACAATGTCTGCATCTTCACGTATCGCCCATCATTAAGGGTCATAACAATTTGCCAACAATTGAGAGAGCAACGTTTAATAAGGGGATTTACTTGGGTAGAAGGGACGGAGGGGCAACGCCCGTATCACCTGCGAGGGGTCTGTTAGACCACTTTATCATGGAATGATCAGTATTAATATTAATTAGGTTATAAAAGCAGCTACTTTAAGCTAAAGGAGAGTGTTAAGCCTCCATTGTGGTTTTGACGGCAACCTCAAAGTTTTTTCCCGGCCATAATTGATCTCCTGGATTGAGAGAAAAAGTATGATGAATGACCAATAGATTTTTTTTACCCGCAATTCTAATCTCCCCCTCACGCTTTATTTTATTTAATTTTTTTATTATTTTATTATTCACCACAAAATTTTTTTTACCTCTGTTCTTCTAATGAACATTATCAAGATCGTTAAAGCTTCATCATTTCAAGATTTCAGACTTTAATTTTTTCTGTTATTAAGAGCTGAAGTACTTTTAATTTTGGTAAAGAAGTTGAAATATATCATAAATTGCTTAATTTAGAAATAAGGCATAGTTTAAAAAAATGATTTTGAAGTTAGGTGTAGCGCACAAGACAAAAATTAAAAAATGATTCGAAATAACAAATTGGCATCAATAAGAATTATTCTTTCATTATTATTCATATTCATTTTAATCAAGCTTCAATTTTTTTCCAAGGACTGAGAATTACCAAGCCTATAAAGCATTTAACGATATTTCATAGTTTAATTCATATTTTTGAAGAAAAGCATTAAACCAGTTATAATTTATAATAATTCCTATTTCGCATAATTGTTTCAGTAATCAGTATTTTATATAATTTTTTTTAATTTTTTTTAAATTTTAATAATTTTTTAAAATTTATTTTGATAATTTAAAGTAAATAAAAATAAACGAATTAAAGCCCATTTTTGTTTTGCTTTCAACCTATTTAAAAAAAAAAAATTAAAGAGATTATTCAAATTTTTTGCATCTTCATTTGAAATAAACAGTTCAGTTTTAGTTTAAAATTATTTTTTTTAATTGATCAAATTTTTTTCCCTTCCATTTTTCAATTTTTCAGTATGCAGTTTTGTGTTCCGTAATTATTTTCGATGCTTGTTCTTTCTTACTTTTTAGCAACTACTTTATAGTTGTGAACAAAACGTTGATTGAGATTTTTTCAAATTTACACAATACTGAAGAGAAATTCTTACGATCAAAATTTCCTCTCAAAAAAATACGTGAGTCGTAGTGGCTCAAGGGACGAAGCGTGCTCCTCCCATTGAAGTGACCCCAGGTTTGAATCCCAGCAATGACAGGTCGATACGAATTCTTCCGACAAAATATTCTTATCCTGTTCGAGTACAGATTTGTTTCGTAACTTTCATATCGAAAACTTGTTCCCATATGGTAAGCCTTTAGAATTTCGACCTGCCGTATCAAAGGGGAATACAACTGAAATAAGACCAATAAGAGCCCATATAGTAAAAGTCTGCTGATACAACATATTTATTTTTTTTATGGTTCGCAACTTTTATTTCTTCGCAATTTTTACGGAAAAAAACTTGTTCTTGCATATTAAAAAACGGTTGAGGCTACGGATTTACTTCTTAAATTTTACAGTTTTGCACAACCTATCCAGCTGTTGATTTAAAACTGCAAATTTTATTGGATTTTTTTTTTCTGCAGTGTTGTAAAAATTATTTCTACCTCGTATAAGCAGGGTATTATACTTCGTCCTTAAGATTTTATGAATAACGTTTAGAGTTAAAAATTTTATAAGATAATCAAATTTGCTATTTGCAAAGCATTTTCTCAGAGTATTGACTTTCATTTTTAAAAATTAACTTTCTCTTCCCTGAAGTGCAACTAGTAGTAATTTCTGTTGCTCTACTTTATGACGGAAATAGCGTTAAAAACCAATCATTTAATAATTGACTCTATTTAAGATTAAGTGTCTTCATTATGTAAAAGAAAAAAAATTCCGCTGAAGGGCATCTTAGCGAAAACGTTTGCTCTAAAGCTATTTTGCATTTCCGTCGCTAAGAGTGATAAAGCTTGAAACAGAAAATATTACCGGTACTTACGATTACCGGTACACAGCATTTGTCATGTACTGCGTTGTTAAAGTTCGTTTATCTTATTTTCACTTTCATTTTGAACATATCCTTAATGTCCATATATTGCCAAAGAAGTTTATATTTTTTTCAAAATCAACTGCTTAAAGTTTTAAATTCAAAATTAATTTAATTCTTTAATGCAAAAAACAATATTCCGTAATAATATTTAAGCAATATTCCAAAAAAATAGATATCAGGGCAGTTTTCAAATATTCCTGTAAAGCTTATTTCTACCATGTAAAAACAGATTGTTGTTAGTCTTATGATTTTGGGAATAACATTTAGAGTCAAAAATTTTAAAGTATAATCAAACATCTTTTCATTTACAGAACATTTTCTGGCAGTATTGATTTTCCTTATTTTTTCACTTTCCGAAATTAAATTTTTCTTTTCTAAGTGTCACCAGTAGTAATTTCCGTTTCTATACTTTATGACGGAAATTGCGTTAAAATCCAATCATTTAACGATTGACTCTATTTAAGATTAGGTGTTTTCATGCTGTAAAAGAACAAAAAAAATTCCGCAGGTGCTTCTTAGCAAAGACGCTTGTTCTGAAGCTATTTTGCATTTCCGTTGCTAAGAGTGATAAAGCTGAAAACAGAAAATGCTACCGGTAGTTACGATAGTGTTCATTGCATTTCTCATATCCTGTTGTCAAAATTCCAATATCAGTTTTTCACTTTTTATTGAAACATATCCTCAATGTCCTCGTATTGAGCTGTTTGCACGATATGAAAGCAAGCATATGAAGAAATTGCTTGTTTTGAATTAGATTAAAGTAATTTTTTTATGAGTAATTCATTTTTACTTGAAGTCACAAAAACAATTTTAATTCAATGTCTGTCTCGAATTTATCGCTCAGCAAAGCAGAAACGGAAATCGATGAGTTATCTTAGATGAAAATATTAAATGAATGAATAATTTATTGCGAAAAGATTAACCATTTCGAGTTTTATGTAGAAAGACGTATTTATGTCTTACTTACAGTTTATAGATTTTTTTTTTCTAAAATTGTTGAGTGTATTTAAAAATATTGACTTTATTTAGATAAATATTTTAAAAACATGTTTTTTGACTTGGTTGCAATTAACAAAAATTAAATTAGTAACTTTAGTAGAATTAACAATAAAATATTCTTTTATTATATGCGATAAAATTCGGTAGATGTTGCAAAATTTGATAATTTTGTCATGATACCAGAGCATGGAAAAACTAAAATTTTCGATAAACAATTACCGTACAAAGGGAAAAATTTCCAAATGAATGGTTTAAGCACCGTATATTTCGGTTATTATAAACGAGAATTATGATTTTTTTAACCAGAAATTTTACCAGAATTTTTTTTCTCAGTGTAGTCTGTAGTTACATGTATGAAAACCTTATTTACGAATTCTTAATTATAAAACAGGGAAATAAATAAAACCAACCTGAACTGTTGATCCATTTGAGCTTTTTCTATTCTCTTATCTTTGGCTCTTCTGTTTTGAAACCAAATTTTAATTTGAGTTTCTGTTAAGTCTAATGATTCTGCCAGTTCAAACCTCCGAGGACGACTAATATATTCATTGCGATGGTATTCCATTTCCAGACGAAGAGTTTGCTCACTGGTGAAAGTTGTCCTTTGGCGTCTCTGCCGACCATCCTTGCGTCTTCTCCTATGAACTTTATAAGAACAGATCATTAATGCTTTGCAATAAATAAAATGTTCAAAATATTCATAGCTTCAATAAATAAATATAATATCCACAAAAACTTGGAAAGTTTATTAAATAGTGAGACAACCTTGCAAAGAACCAGGATATATTTTTATCGTAACACACTGTAAAAATTTCACATTAAATTACGGTATAAAGTATCGGCACTTTGGGTGCATCATTCGTAAAATCCATTTTCACAGTAAAATATTATACTGTAATTTTCACAGAAATATTTATTTAAATTAATTCGAGTGATTGGGGGATTTTGCTGTAATTATTACTGTAAAATTTATGGTATATAAGATTTTTTGTTCTGTAACATGTTTTGATAAAAATGGATTTTATTGTAAAAAGTACCGGTACCTTGAGTGCCGGTACTTTTAATCGTAATTTGTTTTGCATTACAAACAATTACGGTTAATTAAAACAAAATGTTTTGCATTGCAAGTGCTGAAATAAATGAAATAGATCAAAGATAAGTACGTGAAAGTAGTTCTTTGGCCCTGGCGGCAACTATCCGTGTGTTTTCTACTAGAAACTTTACAAAACAGATCATTAATGTTTTGCAATAAATATTGTCTTAAAAATATTTATAGCTATAATAAATCGATAAAATATCCAAAAACTTGGAAAGTTTATTAAATGGTGAGACAACTTTGTCAAGTTCCAGGATATATTTTTATCATTACACACTGTAAAAATTTCAGATCAAATTACTGTATAAAGTATTTGCACTTTGGGTGCATCATCTGTAAAATTCATTTTTACCGTAAAATATTATACTGTAATTTTTACGGCAATATTTATTTAAATTAATTAGTGTGATTCAGTGATTTCATGGTAATTATTACTGTAAAATTTACGCTATGTAAGATTTTTGTTCTGTAACATGTTTCTGGTAAAAATGGAATTTACCTTAAAAAGTACCGGTACCTTGAATGCCGGTACTTTTTAAGGTAATTTGATCTGAAATTTTTTACATTGCAGCGAGTGCTGAAATAAAGGAAATAAAGGAAAGTTAAGTAAAAGTCATTTTTTTGGAGGCCACCCTTCTGTTTTCTATAACGGATAAAAACATAACAAAACTACAAAACAGATTATTAATGCTTTGCAGAATAGATTATTGATGCTTTGATATAACAGTCTGTGTTCAAAAAAACTATGGTTTTAATAAATAAACAAAATATTTAAAATCTTGAAAATGTTATGAAATAATAAGACAACTTTTTCCGCCTTTTAACGCGTATTGAATAACAAAAATCAGACTTTAAAAACCTTGTATATTTGTCTCGATTTATGATATAAAGTATTATAATAAATTTAAATATATTTACGATCACATCAGTTAGTTCCCACAAAAAAAGGAATCTAAATTATTTGTTCATATCAAAATTACAGGATTTAATCATTTTTGCAGAACAGTTTTTATTATAAAATATACAATATTAATTTAGCCAAATAATAAAATTTATTTAAGCTTGATTTTTGCTTAATTTTGCAGTTTTTATATGAATGTAAAATGAACATAAACACGAAATAAATTTAAAATTGTCTAGATTCTTATGAAAAATAACAATATTAAACTGTATTAATTTAAAATTTCTGACTGCCTTTTGGCTATTTAGCTCTTGAAATAATGAACAAAAACTAAAATGCCTTTCTGAACTAAAATAATTATTTAAATTATAGAAAAGAATTGAAAAATAATGAATCAAAAAGATATTTAAAGAAGCAATATTTCAATAAATAATAATTAATTAATCTCGAAATTTATAGGTAATATTTACTTTGGAGTTTCAGTATTATGACAAAATGATTTGTTTTAGTGAATATTTTATTTCCATCCAACTATTCACAACAAATATTTATTCGAGTTGATACATCACTAAAGGAAAAATTTATGTTCAAGCGTTATTTACTACAAAAGTTTAAAAATTGGCTCAATTTAAAAATCAAATTCAAATTTTAGGAGAAAGACCAAGAAATACGAACCAATTTATACAAATCTTCTTTTTTTGCTCCTGGATTATTCTATACAACACAACGTTTATGCATTTTCTAAAATGCATTTTTATTTTTCTGCATTTATCATTGAGTTTTTAATTCTCGATTACGAACAAACAACTATTTTTGAGAAATTGTTGTTAAATGCAAACAAAATATAAGTTTCTTTTATCAATTTAAATGTAAGTTTTTCAAGAGAAAAATCAAGAAATATGAACCAATTTAAGCAATTTCCTCTCTCGTACCTAGTTATATCTGAGAAACGCTACTTTGTTGCATTTCCTAAATTACATTTTTGTTTTTCTATGTTTAAAATTAAGATTTTAGTTTTCATTTACGAGAAAAACAAACTTTTTTGAAAAATTGTCGTTGCGTTTGAACAAAGCATTAACCTTTTTTAACAGTTAAAAGTAAATATTTAAGGAAAAAATAAAGAAATATGAACCAATTCACACAAATTTTTTTGTATAATTACATAGAAGTAATACAAGTTCCTAAACTCCAAGTTCTGCATTTCCTAAACTGCATTTTTGATTTTCTAAGTTGTGATTTCATTGAGATTTTAGGGCTCGTTTACGAACACACTTTTTCAGAAATTGTCGCAGGTTTCGAATCAAATTTAAACGTTTCTTATCTATTTAAAAGTCCAATTTTTTTAGGAGAAATCAAGAAATATGATCCAATTTATACCATTTTTTCCCCACCACATATAGATGAATTTCTTGTACATTTTTGTTTTTCTACGTTTATCGTTAAGGTTTTAGTGCTCATTTACAAATAAGCTTTTTTTTGGAACAGTTGTAGCAGAATTGTAGAGTAAAAACAATATAAATTTTTTATTGTTATTCTTTTACATACTTTTATGTCCTAATAACCTAGATAATTTGTAAAAAGTTTGAAGAAAAGAATGAAAACTGTTTCAATAAGTGCGATTTATTTAATCTGAGTTCTTTAACTCAATTTGTTAAAGCAACATTTATTAGAATGGAAATTGTTTATTGTTTTAAAAAATAAACAAAATAAAAGGAGTCGGAAATGAAATGAGGAACCAAGGGGTGTCTAATAAAAAGACAGGGGAATAGAAATTATAAAATAAATTTATATTATTTTTTAAAGAAGGTAAAAAAAATTTTAAATTTTCTTAAGTTTTCATTCTTGACTTAAAATGATGGAAAAAACGTTGAAGTATCTCATAACTCATAATTTCATAATGTAGAGAAGATTATAAATTTTAAAAGAAATCTAATCTCATCCAGAAGAAAGCAAATAAAAATGAAGTAGAAAGAAAACAATTGTCTCTAAAAAAAGTTCCTAAATGCTTAAACAAACTTTCTTAAAAAAGACCTTAAGAGTTTTTTTGAAAACAAGCTAACCTGTTCATAAAACCTACATTTTATCGCTAATTTGCTTTGTAATTTCATGAAGAAAAAAAATAACTTCTATTTTATTTAATGATATAATGAAAATTATATATACACGCTCACAAGAATAAGAAACTTTATAACGAAAATTCTTCATCAAAAGAAAAAAACTAAACACTGCAATTTGAAAGTTTATAAAAATGTTAATCATTAAGTTACTCGAGTTTCTCATTAAAAAAATGGGTACAAAGAGTTATAAGTCTCAAGCAAAATAATTTCCTAAAACTTTTTAAACTTAATATTTCCATAAATATTTGGAAAAGAAAACAAGTTCTGAAGAAATGTCTTGTTTTTATGCATCATTTTAGAGCATTTAAACACTTTTTGTCATCTCTGACCACTTGTTCGTTCCCATAATTAGCTCTTGCATGTTAATTTTTCTAATTGCGATAAAATTATGGAAATCATAATAGCTCTTAATTACTACATTTGCAAGCGTTAGAAACTCGATATAAAAAGCAATATTCGAGAAAGGAAAAAAATGTTTATTTTAAACAACGTTATTTCTTTTTACGCAGCGCGTGTTGAGGTGTTCCCTTTCAAATAACAGTAGCTTTTTTTTCCCGGGAAATATTAAATTGATAAAAAGTCGTGGTTTTGAAATTCGTGCGAAAACTAATTAAGTACATTGTTTGACAAGTGAAAAATTTTATAAATTATTATAGTGTTTTTAAAACAAATATTTTTTACTCTGTCACTAAAAGTTTTGAAACTTTTTTAATGATAGGGTATTGAATAAATGCTTTTATGAATATTTTTTCCTATTCTAAATAAAATCTTTCACTAAAGTTCTTATAAAAATAAATGCGATCGGGTTTTATTTTAAAAAAAAAAGAGTTCTTGTGGATTATTTCTATTATTGCATCAAAACATTAATTAATAAAAAAAAATTGCATTTAAATTAAGCATTTTACTCTAATTTAAAAAATAAATGGGCTATATTTGCTTTAAACAACAAATAACATTATCAATTTCTCTTTTTCACTCTTTAATGTGGAGTTTTCAATAAAATATTTTATTACTTTTATCTAAACAGTTTTGAAATTCTTAAAGAATTTAACTTTAAAAGTTTACTTTTTTAAAATTCAACATAATTTAGAATAAGTATTTTTTTCGGGCTTATTTTAGCATGACTCTTACAACGTTTCTGCTTGTTTTAATTCTTGTGAGATGAAAACCATGATTTATAGCCTTCTACACAAAAATGATATTAATCACCAGACTAAAATTAATCACAAGAAATAATATTAATCGCAAGACTATTCACTCACACAAAACTAATATTAATCATAAAACTAACTTGCTCCTCTATATGATTGCATAATAAGTTCTAATAAAACTTTGATATCGCAATAGTTTTACAAGGCTTATGATATTTTTTTTCCAACCTGAACTTAAAAGCAAATATTTCCCTAAAAACATAGTCCAAACTTTTAGCACCTAAATAAAAACTTTTCATTTTTCCTAATTTTTTTACACAAGTCGTAAAAGTTTGCAGTGAGCTACCGGAAATATCACAAAAACACCACTTTTCATTGTA